AGTAGCAAAAACCACTCGTTATAGCGCCGCTCACAACGTCCCCCCGCTCCCCCTTTCCTGTCTGCATTTTTTACGCCAACGGTGCCGGACTTTGTTTGCTGTTGACACAACAGATAACAGATTGTGTGAACAGCCAGCAGACCCTTTTCCTGCTTGTTCCTGGGACATACACAGTCGCTTCATCCTTTGCTAACGTCAACACAACAACTTTATTGTCGTATCATGAGTTCCCAAAAGCGTAAACGTGAATCGATCACCATTGAAAAGAAGAAGGAGATATGCCAGTTGGCAAGAAATTACCCTACGATGTCGAAGAATGAGATTGGAAAGCGTTTCTCACTTCCACGAACAACTGTCCGTTATATTCTCACTCAGGCTGAGAAGTGGGAAAATTATACTGTTGGTTCTTCAAAGAGACAAAGAGTCGGAAAATTTAGTGACTTGGAAGACGCTCTCTTCAACTGGTTTACCCAAAAGCGTGCCAATAATATTATTATTACTGATGATCTCTTAAGAGAAAAGGCAAAAACACTTGGCTAGCATTTGGACGTACCAGAAAATTTCGCGTACAGCAGTGGGTGGCTGCAGCGAATTAAAGGGAGATTCCATATTTCGCAACGACGGCTCTGTGGGGAAGGCGCATCGATTTCTCCAGCTATCATTGATGAACATCTTACAAATTTGAACAGTATTCTGGCGAACTCCGGATATGATCCAGCTAACATATACAATGCAGACGAAACAGGATTATTTTTTCAGCTCATTCCTGACCGAACACTTGCTCACAAAGATGAAAACTGCCGTGGTGTCAAAAGGATGAAGCAATGAATCACTGTTCTACTGTGCTGCAACTCTACTGGAACAGACAAGCGGCGATTGCTGATTATTGGAAAATCGGCAAAGCCTCGATGCTTCAGAAACTTTAGTCCACACTTCTACTGCACTTACATATCTAACAGCAAAGCATGGATGACCTCTAACATCTTTCAAGAATGGCTACTGCAGTTCAACAAGCAGCTTGTCTCTGAAGGACGTCGTATCCTACTGTTGTTAGATAACGCTACGTCTCACTGCATCCCTAATGATGGTTTCAGCAACATAAAGATACACTTCCTTCCACCAAATATGACTGCCAGTCTGCAACCACTGGATAGTGGCATCATCAAAAGTTTCAAGGCTCAATATCGCAAGCTTCAACTCCAGAAAATGGTGGAATTGGCGGATGCCCATCTACCCAAAGAATTACGTCTGGATTACGCTGTGCGCTATTGTAAAATGGCTTGGGATTCTGTGAGCCCTGATTCCATCAGCAACTGCTGGAATTACACAGGCATTATTCGCTTCACTTCTACTGCTGCAGTTGAGCCTCTTAATTATGGAAATCTGCTCGATCGCATTCGCGACATCTTCGCTATTACACCAGAGAATTTGATGACTGAAAGGGAGTTTCAACTGGTTGATGATTCCCAGGAGGCGGAAATGAAGCTAACAGATGACAATTTTCTGCTGTCCACTGTTACAGCGAAAGAAGAACTTGGCGAGGATGATGATGCAACAGTGATCCAGGCCTACCATCGTTAAGGGAAGCTAGAACAGCTGCTGAGACAGTTTTGTTGTTTCTTGAGCACTCCAAGAGAGCAACATCTGACGACGTCAATCTATCTGCGGATTTGTTACGCCGTGTCTATGCCATAAGTAAGGGAGAGAAAACACAAGTTGTGATTACAGACTTCTTCAAGAAAATGTAATTACTTTTTTATGAATAAATTATAAATTAATTATTCCTATTTGTCATATTAATTAATTAATGCCGGCATTCTATATATTGACTTAGGGTATAAGTTGTTATTAGTCATTGTTATAAACAATTTATTATATCTTTAAATTTCACATTTTAAATGTGTTCGATACAACGCCACCCTCGCCTTACGCCGCTTTTTTGCGAAATCCGGATGGTGGCGTTATAACGAGAGTAGACTGTACTTTTTTTTCCAATTAAAAATATTTATCAATATTGTACACACACCTATTGTTTCGGAAGCTTATAAAATAAAATTTTGCGTAAAATACCATTCTTTATATATTATGCAAAATCTGCCTGGTGTATAGGAGTTCAATCTATGCTTCCTGCGGTGAATCGGTATAAGACCGGTGGTCTTAATAAAGTAGTATGCGTGTGTGTATATTATGCAATATCTGCCTGGTGTATAGAAGCTCTATGTTTACTTCCTGCGGTGAATCTGTATAAGACCGGTGGTCTCAATAAATCTGTATGCGTGTATATGTATATATGTGTATGTATATATTATACACTACTATTGCGTATGTTACCTTTCTAGCGTAGGTTTTTCTACAAGACATCTAAACATGATTTACAGACATTGTAGAATAGTTTCTTTATAAAGCTAGCCGAATCGTTTCTATTGCATGAAAAATCAAGTATTGCGGTAAAATATTATAAATTTACGTGCTTTCTCTCAATGCAATAAGTACTGTGGAAATTTTGTCTTTTAATAAGGAAAAGAAAAAAAGGTAATTTTTCTTTACTGATTATATACTTAAGCCATTTTCTCTATATTTCTCCGAGTATTGAATAATGAATTTGAATGAAAAAAAAAAAAGGATTGTCGTTATTTATCTATCTATTTCACCTTAAGTCATAGGTTGGTGGCTGGCAGTATTTATATTCACTTATTGTAAGTGCAAAGTCGAACTGCTTTTCACATGTGTAGACATGTGGTGCACTTACAGTAAAAGCAGTCGCTAACTACCCACCATGATTATCATGGCCTGTACCACGTCTATTAGGGATGAGTACAAAAATAAAACCCTACAGCTTTATTTCTATGGCTAGTCTGTTGATGGCAACCATAGGGTGTGTTCTCCCGAAATTTGTGTCTATCAAGTATCTTTACTGTATAGAGACCAACTGATAACAAAAGGAAAATGTTACCTGCATGTAACTCTTTTTAGACATTTTACATACAAGGTTTAATCATTCATTAAACATAAGAAGTCAATTAAAGCCAAATTCTACCTTTCATTCAACTCCCGAGTGTAAAGCTATCTATTTAAAAGCTAGCGTAGAATAAAAATAAATTTTAAAGAGATATTGTTTCTGACCAAAATTTTCATATAGTAATTTGAAGCTTCGCGTGAAAGGTATTGAAGAGCTACACTTAAAGAAACATAACAAATAAAAAGATTAAGACGCGAATATTTATTTTCACAAATGAATCAAACCTCTACTGTCCTTACTGCGATGAAAAAATATTGGTAGGTCTTGGCTCATCAGTTATTCAACCTCCCAGCGGTTTCCCCAATTTAATCTACCAGTCCACTTCTTTAGAGCTCTAATACTGTATTGGATCATTCTGATTTTATATGCTGCACTGAAGAGTGGAATCTTAGAAATGGTATTTAAGTAAACTATGGACATAAGTTTGATTTATTTGTGAAAAAGAAACATTCGCGTCTTAATTTATTTCATTTGTTATATATAGATATCAACTTATATTGCTTTGTATTAACTTAAAGAAGTAATAATGTAGAACTTCCCTTGAGTGAAGCATCTTTTTAGGGACCACATTCTATAGCGACCACTTCCATGAGCGACCACCTTTGTTATAAATCAACAAATATCTTGAACCAACCTCCAATAAACAACCACCTCCAGAAGAAACCAGAATATCACTCTCTTAATTAATTGTTCTACCGAATTCATTAGAATCCTAATTAAGGAAAGGGAGTCTATAATGAAGAGCTATCTATGTAAAAAAGGGTGAAGCTAGAAAAGTTTTTATTAGCTCTCACAAAAACTCCTGCCCCTTCCTATAACCGAGTTAGCCAAGTGTAAGAGAGCCTTTGGGACAAAATAAAATTTGCATTAAATTTTGTTGGGATTAATTTAATCATCTCTTGTTGCTTGGACCGGATATTTTTATAAAATTACATTTTGGGAAATATTATTTATTTCCCATTCGTTTTATATATATATCCTTTACCTTACAACTCTGAACACTCGGATTTTCCTGGAAAATCTCTTGAAGATTTCTTGAAAAAAGCCATGGTCCACCTGTGCTGTGTGAACAGAAGAACTTAAATTGACTTGTTCCATTATATGTATGTTCCATATGTAAATACCTGTTTTCTTTCCTCTTTTCGTTCTCCACTTCTCCCATCCATATTTTCAAAAATATTTTTTTCCAAATCCATATTCACATTTTCCATAGGATTATTCAAATAATAATCTGTATATATTTACAATGTGTATATAATCTCTCTCCATTTTTACCCCTTTGTATATTTCCCACTTTCATAGGTTTCTCCGTCTTGTTTTTTTTTTACTTATCCTTTTAGTCTAAATAAGACAAGATCTTGGGGGTCGTGCTCGTAAAGAAGCTCAAGAACTCTTCTTGGTTCTCTGTACAGGGATCTTTTGTCCTTTCCAATGCAATTTAGTAAATGTTGGGGAGTGGCCTCTTCGGTTTTGCACCTAGTGCACATGGGGAAGCTTTTGGTCCCTCTTTATAGACTAGAGGGCGCAGGTGACCAGATTTCCATCTGGCCAACTGTGTCGATTCCATTCTTTTTAGTTGGAGGGTCTGTTTTTTGGGGTTTTCTACCTGGTACCAAGAATGATGGAAACTATCTCTATGGTTGTAACCGGTCTTGTAACTCCAAGGAGAATCCTCTGTAAGACCAGTGTGTCTTAATAAAGGTTTTTGTGTGTGTGTGTATATTTCCTTTATATATCTATCTACCGTATACAATAAACTTCGATATAATATATGTTTTATATATTGCCGTTATAGGTATTTCTACTGTATTATAAGCATATGTCTATAGGTTGGTAGAATAACTTAGCTAATATTAGGTCTTTCAGTGACACACTGACAACTTGAGGAAATTGTACCTTTTAGCATGTATATATATTTTTATCAATATATTAAATTGTATTATAAATTACTTTATGTATTATTTACGAACGGAAAAATATTTCCAGGGTAGCTTAGTGGACATGGCATCTGCCCGGTAAGCGGAACAATGTGGGTTCGATTCCCATCCCTGGACACTTTTATTTTTACGTTTATCATTACTCTTCATAATTCATCCATTCATACCTCATTCCTAAGGTTAGAAATAACCGTTATTTCTCCCCTTAAAATAAATTTTGATATTTCGTTGAAAAGAAACACATGCGGGATAATTTTCAAATGTCGTTTTACAATTATAAGCCGAATTATATTGTATTATATATTGTCGTTATAAGTTTGTGTCTATAGGTTGTTAGAATTACATAACAAATATTAGGTCTTTTAGTGAAACACTCATGGACAAAATTTAATGATGTTGTACCTTTTAGTATGTATATATTTATTATTAATATATTTTATTATATTTTGATTATTTTTTTAAAAGGGAGGAAAACGTTCGAATTTACATGTATGGGAAATCAGCAGCTATATAAGCAAATAAGAAGTGATTTATACTTAAAATAAGAAAATTTAAAAGTTTTGCCCATGAGAGAATATTTAAGCAGAATTGTCTAATAGCAGAATTAGAGCTCTAAAATGCGATCTGGTTGATTAAACTGGCGAAACCGCAGGAAGGGTTCATTACTGATGAACGAAGCCCTCCCAATATATTTTTATCATCGTAGTAAGGACAGTAAAAAATGTATTTGGTTGTAAAATAAAGATATTATTGATTTATATATATATATGTCATAATATATGCTCTTTCAGGAATAATAAAGCAAACCTAGAGTCAGCCCAGAGAGAGACAGCAGCTAAAGTCCAGTCATTTGAGACACCAGTGACATTTCAGGGGGCGACCACAGGGGCGTTACTTGGAACCTCGAGACTAATTAAGACAGTTGGTGATTTTTTGTGTGCGATACAAACGGCCGGCCGCTCAGCGGTGGCCGGGCCATCTCTCTCTTTCTGGTTGTCTGGGTTCCTCTTCCAAATTTGTGGTGTGTGATTATTTCTCTTTCCCCACCTTATTATCATATTGCCACATATATATATATAAATCAATAATATCTTTATTTTACAACCAAATACATTTATTAATATAAAAGAAGGCATCTACTAACCACGCTCACATGAGCTTTTTAGATGGCAGAGCACCATCTAGTGGAACAGAAATCAGCTGAACGTTAAATATAGCTTGTTCACTAATATTTGTTTAACCTATTTTATATAAGTGTGAGTGTGTGTTTGTATGAAAAAAAAATGAAAAAAGAATAGAACAATGGCAGTTGCTAATATTAAAAAAAAAACATATCCTGACCACGCTCACATGTGGTTTTTAGATGGCAGAGCGCCATCTAGTGATACAGAAATCAACTAAACGTTGATTTAACTTGTTCCCTGATATTTGGCCAACCCAATTTATATATGTGGGAGTGTGTTTTTGTGTGAAAAATAAGAAAAAAATATAGAAAAATGGTTGGGAGTTGATATTTAAAAAAGGCATATCCTGACGCTCTCTGCTATCTAAAATGCTCGAGTGATGATGATGATAATTATGAAAGATGTCATTGGTATCTTCCAACAGATTTCTATCATGCTAATCGTGACTATCTTCTTCAAAGATTACGCCTATGAAATCCTTCTGCCGACAATGACTGGTTTATAAATACAGTAGAACTACCTCTCTGTATAGGACAATACCTAATTGCAGAGCTAAAGTGTCCTTTAGGGAGAGGTGTCCTCTTACTGAAGAGTTGCTAAATAGTAAAAATGGTAATTTTACAAATGAAAACTGTCCTTTGTAGAGAAGTGCCCTCTTACCGGAGAGTTGCTAAATAGTAAAAATGGTAATTTTAAAAATGAAAACTGTTCTTTATAGAGAGGTGTCCTCTTACCGGAGAGTTGCTAAATAGTAAAAATGGTAATTTTACAAATGAAAACTGTTCTTTGTGGAGAGGTGTCCTCTTACCGGAGAGTTGCTAAATTGTAAAAATGGTAATTTTGAAAATGAAAACTGTCCTTTGTGGAGAGGTGTCCTTTTACCGGAGAGTTGCTAAATTGTAAAAATGGTAATTTTGAAAATGAAAACTGTCCTTTGTAGAGAAGTGTCCGCTAAAAGGAGGTTCTACTGTATATCGATGAATTAATAGATAATAATAATTAAAAGGAGATGCCTTATTTATTAATTTATCCTCCTGATCCAAGTACAAATTGACTTTTGTACTATATTTTACATAGAGTTCTATCTTCAGTTTAAATTAAATAATAAGAGATAAAAGTTGGTAGACAAGTGGGTAACACCCTCGATTCCCGACAGCCATGAACCGGGATTGAATCCCACGTTAACATTTTGTTTAAAATGTGAATAACCTTCACATATTATTCATTGTTGTAAATTTCATAAGCTAGGTTTTTCTTGTTGAGCAGTACCTAATAAAGTGATTTTGGAACAAGAATTAAATAAAAGACTTTATAGATCCAATATCAATGTAACAACGCCTAGTTTTTTAGATACCATCAATTTATAGCTAAAATATACAATATAGGTTGAGCGTGAATTGTGATTGGGCAACTGAAATAACACCCATATAAATATTGTAGGTATATGATAACATATAAGGACACAAATGTTTCAATCTTTATATATATATAATGAAATTAATCCAATTAGATACCTAAAATCTCAATATATTCGAACAAAGAATTTTTTTTCTTATCCCTAGTACACGTGGTACAAGCCATGATAATCATGGTGGGTAGAAGTAAGCGACTACTTTTACTGTAAGTACACCACATGTCTACACATGTGAAAAGCAGTTCGACTTTGCACTTACAAATTTGCCAAAGCCCCGTTTGGTTACTTGCACTTGCTGGTGGGGTTGAACTTTTGAAAGAATCGGGGGCCATTGGAGCATTTTATTTTTTTTTATCAGAAAAAAAGTGCCAATTGCGAGAATCGAACCCGGGTCGTAGCGTTCGAAAAACCAACGGTTTGGACCATCCTTCCACCGACCCTCCAAAGAATTACCTACTTCAGACATATAAAAAGAGTAAATGGTTTTAAAAATATGCTAGTGTTAGGAAAAATTGAAGAAAAGGAAGAGAGAAAGACTTAAAATGAGCTGGCTAGAAAGGGTCAAGAAAACTACAGGAAGGTCACTAGATAAGAGTGATGGTCATTAACAGATTAAACTGGACAATATTTGTCACCATAGTGTTACCAAAAGTTGACTTGATGGAGGCTATAACAACAAATATTATATTTCATTTATTTCAACACACAAAACGCGATATCGCTACTAGGGATAATTGCGTCGATTTGCATTTTTTTTTTTCAAAAAGAAACAGTTATAAACATATTATACAAGAAAAAGTAATTAAAAATAAAAAAGAGAAGCAATAATATATATTAGGAACCTGAACCTTTCAGGTTAGAAAGATAATCATAAATATATTTACAAAGATAGTTAAATCTATGATAATTCTCTCTGCTATTTACAAATTGATATAGATCTACAACATTGTCTGTTGTCTAGCGCCAAAAAAAAAAAAAGAGTGGGCAACTTATATCATATATAACGATTGAATATTAAATTATATAAATGGCAATGCTCCAGCATATATTTATCATTATATGTATTTCTACTTTCTTCAAAGCTCATGTCCATACCCATTCCAAGAGTCTAATTACAGTATCAGTATATAAGGAAAACCGATAATGCAATATAACAGCGGTATGGTAGATTAAACTGAAGAAACCGCTGGGAGGGTTCATCACTGAGGAGCCAGGCCTTTCTATTAATTTTTATCATTGCAGTAAGGGCAGTAAAATATTTATTTAAAAAATAATCATACGCATCAAAAATAGTTCAAATTTTTTATAACAGATGGCGTACTAATGTAGCATATTATATAATGTGTGTTTATAGAATATTCCTATATTATGTAGATATGCAAAGATGGTGGATATATATATGGCATATTGACGGTGTGTGTTCCAGCTCTGCTGTGCCAATGTTTATATTATCGGCCGCAAGTCGGTGGTATCGAGTCGACCGCAGCTCCGCCTAGTGGTGGTGCTCAGAAGCGATGTGGCGGGCGCTGGTGTGGCTGGTGCTATTCCAGGATACCATCCGATGCCTGCCGCCCGTAGTCCGGATCGGTGAGTTGCATATCCTCCCTATAATTACATATTTCCCACGACGCTCATCTCTATACCTTTCAATTAACCGTTACTTTATCTATGTTTCGATTAGGTGGTAATCTCTTAGTAACTTGTTATGAAGTCATTGACATTTCGGTCATATCGTAACACTTATTTTTGATTTGCATAGCATCAATACTATATTTACATATACCTTCATATCTATACGATTAAATAGACAGACACACTTTTTAAATTTTACAGGATTATTTTATATATATATTTTTGGGCGTTTCTCTTTCATTTTATTCCGGAGTCATTGACATTCCGGTCATATCGCGAAATACCTTATTTATTTACATATTATCAATACTAAATTTGCATAAACACTATTACTACGCTTCATATTGGGCAGCTTTTAATTCAATTATAAATCTTTTGTTTATTTTTTAAAAATTATCTTTCATTTTACTCTAAGTCATTGACATTTCGGTCAAATTTCACCATTTTTTCAATTCATATAATACAATACGTATTTATACCTTCATAATAAATTCATACAATTTCATGGATTATTTTTATTATTATTTTATAGGAGAGTGTATACATTCTTTTTTTAAAATTCTCTGGTCATTGACACACTTCGGTCATACGGTCATATCGTACACCTATTTTGATTTGCATATTATAGACTATATATTTGCATATGACCCTATATTTATATATGATATATCTCAAATTTCATTTAACATACTCTTATTTATTTCTGAAGATTTATTTTTCGTAAGGAAATGATTTATTATATACTTTATATAGAAATATCTGCGGTCATTGACATATTTCGTTTATATTTGCATATCAACCAGTACTCTATTTACATATAACCCCATATCTATTTTTATTTCAACGACATACCGTTTTTAAATAGGTAAAAATGTGGAAACTATTCG